AGAAGGCTAAACCGGACACACTTTGATACCTATAATTCCAATATATTTTGTGAGGCACCTTTCACAGTGGTCTTGGTTATGGCGCTTCATTCCTGACACGCAGGTTGTGGTATCAAATCTTGGCCGCGGCTGTCGCATTTTCGATGCAGGCAAGAATGCTTGAGGCCTGTGTGTATGAATATCGGTGCACGTTAAAAAAAAAAAAAAAAACCCTAGGTGGTCAATATTTCTGAAGTCATCCACTACGGCGTCTTTCATAATGATATCGTATATATAGTTTTGCGATGTTCAACCCAGTATTTAATATTACTATATTAGATCTTTTGTGATTCTAGCTTGCGAAAGAAGGTGGTGAATTGCTGGTGAGACGGAAGACGACATGACTCCTTTGAATCTCATGCGGAATTGTGAGCGCCTGTACGTGCGGTCAATTACAAGGGATTGAAGGAATTTTAACATTTTGTTGCGAAACAACGTCCGCCAAATTTTCACAGTTTTAAACTCACCAAGTTTGGAACTCACTGTTGTTCACAGTTATCTAAGCTGATTTATATGTGGAGTTTAACCGTCCCGAAACCACCACATGATTATGAGAGACACCATAGTGGAGGGCTCCGGAAATTTCGACCACATGGGGTTCTTTAACGTGCACTCGAATCTGAGCACATGGGCGTGCAGCCATTTTCACCTCCATCGAAAATGAAGTCGCCGCAGGAAGTATTCAATCCCGCGACCTGTGGGTGAGCAGCCGAGTACCTTAGCCACTATACGCGGCGGGGCACAGTTATGGGAAATTCATTTAGTTCATTTCATTCAGGGCCCTAACAAGACAACTTCTCCAAACGTGGTCTCCAGCGACACTTCATGTTCAGGAATATTCATGTGTTCTGAACCTCTGCTTAGTTCAGAACACATATCCTCATCCATGAGAGCCAACAAATTTAACGGAAGACCGTCCTTGAACACTATGTATGTATAACATGCATGTATGTCACCGCAGTTGCAGGAGCGGTGCAAGACCAGGTACGGGGTGGGGGAGCTAACCAACCGTCTTCTAGAACAGACAAAAGACGACACTTCAGCACCACCTCCCTGTATCGCCGAAGGAAATCGCTTGTCGTGTGCAGAGGTATATGCTCCCTGCGATGGCATATATATACAGGGGCACCAGTCGTGGCTTCCACCCGCACCCCTCTGCCCTCTTAAAAAATTGTAAGACCACCCCCCGATAGGCGATGATTCGTCAATTTCTTGAGCACACCTGCAGCAGAGGTACACTTGGTTAACTCAGTATGCAAGATCTTACAAAGATGAGGTTCCTGTATACCCTCATGACCTCAAAAAACATGGCAACGGGCGTGACTGCCACCGCACTCTCCCAATGCGAAGGAGATCACATACTGTATACGTATGAGTTCACAATTAATGACATAACTTACGAAAACACGTCATGAAACGTGCACAGTCGGGCGAATACACGTGTGCGCAAGAGCTCGATGAATGTCAGGAAAGATGGGTCACCCGTGGGGTCAACATTCCGCGAGATAAAACACGCATGCGATGGCTTCGCAGAGGGTGAGTTCGCGAAGGCCGGTGCCCTGGCCTTATGGGTCTTTTTAACTACATTTCCTTCCTCAATGGCCTCTGCCCTTGCTCCATTAACATCGTACACCTGGACAGCGTTATACCCCTAAACTTATGAATGAGCAGGGATTTTGATGATATCTCATGGAGAGCGCAAACAGAAGCTGACCAAATTGAAGCTGTAAGATTTTGAAAGTGCTTTCGAAATAAATGATCCTGACACAGGTACTGCGGGCATTGCGGGGTGGGGGGGGAGGTAATCAGGGTTCTATTATTTTGTACTTAACTCTCTTCATGACAAATAATGGTATCAGAACCTCTCGAGGACGTTGCGCCTATCTAAACTCAAACAGATATGCCTTTTAGTGTCTTCTAATGCCTTGACCTCTAGTGCTTGAATTTTTCACGTCGTGCAGTTACTCCCTACGATAATTTCAATCGCACGCACTATGCCTCAGTCTCACAGGAACTGCTTCCCCCCTGGTTGAGAATAGAAAACCATGTGAGGACTGCCGCCAAACCATTTCGATAAGTACATCTCTTACGGAACCCCACTGATGGCGATTCCGAGTGCGTAGTACAAAGTATCGGTCTGGCTCCCTGCTTCTTGCTGTGGAAACAAGCCCATTGCGGGTGCCATATACAAGACATTCTGCAAACGTGAAACGTTTCTGTATCCAAGTCAACTAAGCTAGGCGGCAGAAGACGTGGGAAGTGGAGAGGTTGCAGCCTTCCAATACCGCACCGCACGATTATATCTCCTGCTATATCTTTCCGACCTCCTTTTTGTACTGCCGCAACTGCTAGGAGAGGCGAGCAACTTTTTACTCCACTCTTCCCTCTTTTTCTTTAATCTCTATGGTACCTAGAGAGTGCCGTCGGTGCGTCGGAAGGACACATGGTGCGTACTTAGAGAAGCTCATTTAGGGTCGTTTCAATGAGCGCCACCACCTCGAGATTCTTTGGGCACAAAATGGCGTTCCGTCGCATGGCATGCTTGGGCTTTCGCGCGAGGCCATTCGTCTCTGGCAACTATCGGCCGGCGTCCGGGGAAGGACAGGAGAAGACCTCGCTGCCTTGCGCACGCCGATAAATCGTGCCAATTCGATGCGCTGCCCGAATTTCTTCCCTTATGTATATTTATATACGAACAGCTATAATACTTGTCTTAGAGAGTAAGAGGGTGAATGCTTCGCGAGTAGACGCCCCTAATATGGAATCGACGTGGAGCTCCTTTTGCTGGCTCGTACGTTGCGGCGTGTTCCAGAAAGGGGAAAAATGGCGTTCCACACACCGGTAATGCCTCTTTCATGAAGATTGGGTGGTATATGGGGCTGGGGGGTGATCTTGAATAAGGTACTCTCTAGCTGTGTTCTCTCCCTCGTAATACGTTTTCTCCGGGTCGAGGATAAAGATAACAAACGAATCCGGTGGAAAATTGCCAGAGCGGGGTCCCCTTACGAGAATAAAGGCAGATATAAAGAACACGTATCCGCCACATAAACGGGCGAGAAAAAAAATTGGATGTACAGGCGTGGTGTACCCGACAGTTAACGAGGTCGCAGAGCAACCCGTCGCTGTCGCACTTTTTCGTTGTCGGCGTTTGACCTTTCTTCATGGGCCGGAAACGGACGATAAACACCAAACACAAAGAAAGACCAGAGAGCCAACCGCGATAGGCATAGAGCAGTCAAAAGTCAGCTCACTGAGTCTTGCAGGTGCGAAGGATGCTCTGGTGGTGCAAATCGGCCCGGTAAGCTTAACGAAACCAGGAACCCCGGAAAGTTTAGATCCGTTTGTTGCAGCAGGAGAGACCAGAATTGAGGGGAAAAGAAAGACGTGGAAAGCGAGAAAGACGTCGCTAAAGACACGAGGCGGAGGAGGTTCCTGAGAAAGGAAGAAGGGTAGAGTGTGTGGTCCACGCATACGACCAAGGATTGCTCAGGTGCGAATGCGGGGCGGCACGAAGTGGGTGGCTCATAATGCCCTCCAGCAACTGTTCTCCTTTCGTCCTTCTCGGAATTGCGACAAGAACGCGCCGTCACACGGTTGGATTCTCCCAGGAGGGAGGTGATAGGACACCACGAAGCCGATGCTTCCAGTGTACGCAGTTCCTTTTTGACAGAGGACTTCGCTCCATTGTTCGGCGCACCACAAGGCACTCGCGCGAGGTTTGTGCCATCGATGCGGTCTGAGAGGTAGCCGGTGCGCAGCTGCCCGTCGGGCGATGGCAATCGGTAAACACTTGCTGGCCGCAACTGAGACCACTAGGGTGATGGAATACCGCTCGCAGCCCTCTTTCCAAGTGACCCCCCCCCCCCCCCCGATCGTTACCCCTTCCCTTACCTCCCGGCTTGAAGGAGCACTCGGTTTGAAGCCCCCAAGCCAACTTTCTGTCCCTCCATTCTCTGTCCCCGCCCCACCTGCCTCTTCCGAGGCAGCGGCGATGCGTGAAAGGAATGTTCATATCGCGCCGTTCTCCTTTAGATTCGTGCTTCCAAGCACGTGGAAACAGCGGTAAGCCCGTCCACAAACATACATACACACATCCAACCTCTTTCCTTGGTCGCTCTCTCCACGAATGCTCTCTTTCTCCTCTCATATACAAAATGAACTGGATGCGCCAACATATCTACATAAGAGGAACGAATGAGATGGACGACACCTAGAACGCATTCGTCGGTCGCTTGTGCAAGGGCGTGACTCCGCGGGGCTACAGCTCCCCGCTGCCCGTCGGTCGCCGAAGTGTAGCCGCGTCCTCCTGGAGGACAACGAGACGCGGCGCAAAAAGAAGCAGACAAAGAAAAGGAGAGTGAAGAAGAAGTAACAGAGCAGTATGCCGAAGAGGCATCGCCGCCGCGTGTGCTCGCCCGCGCCCAGAACCGACGGCATCCGTTGCGAACCATCGGAAAAACCTCCTCTCTCATCAGTTGCCTCGTTCCTCCACATTCACTAGCACCGAGGCGCAGCCATACCTCCCTTCGGTTAACGCTCTCTCCCCGCAGTGTACCCCCTACCAGCAATAATAAAGCACCAGCTGGAAGAGAGAATACCAGCACCGGCCAAGTGACACCCTCTCTCAATGTGTTCCCCCAACCTCTTCCTCATCGGATCTCCCTTCTGAATGACGTACACAACTCCCCCCGCGGAGGGAGGAGACTCGTTGCGTGAGACAAGCCCTAACACCAAACTCCCCCTCTTCTTCCTCGCGCAAAGGCGCTGCCGGCTAAAGAACTTGCCGGCCGGCCAGCGAACGCTTTCCAACCGCGCGCTTATCCTCTCCCCAGACCCCCTTGCCGGCGTGGCTAGCCGGCCGCGCTGCGAGAGCGTGCAGAGCTGGCTGCGCAGCGCCCGCGAGTAGGCAGCATCGTACGCGCTACTCACCACGCGGTTCCCCCCGACGTGTGCCTTACCCCTCCGCGCAGTGGTGGTGTACGGTCAGTCACTGTCGATGCGACGGCGGTGGTGGCGGTCGCTCCACTTCAGCTGAGGGCCTAGGTATAAAGGCGCTCCCACACCCAGTGTGGGCCGTCAGTCAGCCGAGTGACTTGGAGGCGGATAGTGCCCGGAAGACATGTCATCCCGGCGGCGGTGGCACGACGCGCCAGCCTCGACTACCTACGCGCTGCCGAGTCGACCAGCCCCGGGCATCGTTGCCACGCATCGTCGTGCGATACGGAGCGTCCACCAGTGCTGTGCCTCGGCGGTTTGTGATTCGTCGGTGGTGCAGTGTCGTCGTCGTTGACGTGATCCCCGACGTTAGGGGTTGAATTGTGCTCCTTCGGTCACCTCGGGGATGCTCTCCGACTTACGTGGTTACCGGTGATCGACAAGAGCACGTGCTGCCATGCTCGGTGAACATCGTCATTTAGGCAGTCGGTTTCCCCGGTCCGCAATCTGTTTGCTGTAGAGCGAGCGCGGACACTTCTTCTTCGGCAGCGGAGTCCCATGGATGCAGCCATGCGTTGGCGGAGGACTTGGCTGGCCACTGCGGGCCTCGCCTTCTGCCTCGGCATGACCGTTGGCCTGCTGCTCCCTTTGAGGGAGCTGGCTCGCAGCGGAAACAACAGCAGCAGCAAGGCGGAGGCCGGCTCGCAGCATGAGCGGCCAGGCAATGCGTCTTCCAGCGGCGCCCCTCAGCCGCCGACGGGGAGCGCCGCCGCAGCTTCCCGTGCGCTCAACGGATCGGACCTGTCGCTGCTGCCTCGCCGCACCGAGAAGGGCACGGTGCGAGGAATTTTCTGGGCGGGACCCGTGGAGCGACTGGTCGCCGCGGGCTCTCTGGGCAGCGAAGAGGACGTGTCTCGGTGGCGGGCCACCGCAAGGAGATCGACCGTCCGGGCCGTGTATGAAGGATGCGGCCGCATGCAGAACAGACTGATCGTGTTCGACTCCGGCGTGCTCAGCTGCGCCCGCTACCGGCAAAACAACGACCAGATTCAGGGCGAACTGTTCTCGTTCTACTTGTCCCGGGAGTTGGGCATTCGGAATCTGCCGCCCGCGCTACTGACTCGAGCCGCCGGCCGAAGCTGGGATCCCGTGAGGTCCAGCCTCGAGTTGGCTCAGTGGCGTTCGGACAGACCTGTGGTGCTGACTAAATTTGTGGATGATTTGGTGCCCACGTTCATTCCGGAAGAGTTCCGGTCACCCGCTAATCGACGGCTGCATCCGCCCGACGTCGCTAACAAGACGCAGAAAGAGATACGTGATTTGGTCCAGTGGTCGGACCTGATCGTCTTCGACTACCTCACCGCAAACCTTGACCGCATCGTGAACAACATGTTCAACCTGCAGTGGAATCCGGACATGATGAACGCTCCCGCGCACAACCTGGTTCGGCAAAAGACCACAGGTCTTCTAGTGTTCCTTGACAACGAGTCCGGGCTCGTGCACGGCTACAGACTGTTGGACAAGTACGAAGTGTTCCATCGGTCCCTGCTGGACTCTCTTTGTGTCTTCAGGAAAGGCACGGCTGACGCCGTGGCCAGACTTGTCCGTGACAGGGACGTCGGCCGAAGACTGTACAGTGCTTTCAACAGCAGTGATCCCGGCATGGATAATTACTTGCCCTTCCTTCCAGAGCGCAGTGTCAAGATCCTAAACAAACGACTGGCCCAAGTGAACACGCAGATACGCAGGTGCATGGATAAGTACGGCCACGTTCTACGGTGAACTCCTTCCACGTAGAGGACAGTGGTACGTTGTTGGACGACTCGCAGGGGGTGAGTTGTTACGTGCGGCAACACATGTTTGCTCTTGTGATACGTACGCAACGTGATGCCGGAGTGTATGTTTCGCATGTTGCCCGGCAAGGTGTTGCTTGCGCTGTGCGAGCGGTCTCCAAAGAGGCGTCTCGGCCCAGACAGCGCATGGATAGTCAAGGTCTGTTCTGACTTCCTCGTTAGTATAACGTATACGCGACTAGCGTGACGAGGCGTGGGAAATTTGGAACAGTTCTCTGTTGTACGTAGCTGGGGCTGTGCTGACGGTGAGCCGAATGAATTGATTGAGACTACATGACCGTCACTGCAGCTGTAGACCAAACATTTGTTTATACGTATCTACCCTAGTAAGTTGCAAACTTCGAATGTGCTCTATGGGCTGTAGCGTTTGAGAACTTGGATATGTATTTGTTAGGTAATTTATGAAGTGTTTCTTACATTTTTCGTGTGCCAGCCAGGACTAAGGGGCATCAATGGTATAGAGTTTGTTGCTTGAAAAAGACTGAGCAGTCCATAATAGTCGGGTGCTTTCGCTAAGCGGAAAGCGGCTGCTAGTTCAATAGTACCTTGATGAAAGTTGGCACACACCTCTTGGCCTCCACAGTAGAGGATTCTGATAGCGTAACCGAAATTTCTCAGCGAATCTTCGCAGCATATCGACCGCCATCGCGGGCATCACTGTTGCACATGAGCAAGATTTTATGCTTAACGTGGCGTTCTCACAAAGTTGAATGCTATGTTGTCGCGAGTTCAAGAGATAAAATGTCAATGAAGCATGAAAATAGTGGTCTTTTGCTATTACTATGCTGAGGATTTGGTGCTGAATGCTTGCAAGTATAGGTATCTTCAGGTAATTGGTATGCCAGGTCACCATGTGATCTGTTACCAATGCGACAAAGGGCCGAAAAGGCCACGAAACCTCCAAGCTAATGTCTTTCTCGTTGCAAAACGAGACTCTTGCGCATTGTTTAGGAATGAAGACGGCGCATATAGATGTTTCTAAAGGGTCAGAATCATTCGTGCTATTACGACTCCTAGTTCAAACGCACTGGACAAAGGTTTTTGCACTTAAGAAATCCTCGATTACATAATCACCTATTCCTCTTTTTTTTTGCGTGCTTCTCTTATTGTTCGTTGTTTCAAAGTAATGTGCCGAAACGTACCAGAAACAGAATGCCTAATTTTTCAGAAAGTAATGCCTTCACACGAAGACAGTGAGGGCATTAATGCAGACGCCTCACCATCAACCAGGTGTTTCGACTGAAAACGGTTATCGTCACTTAAGCAGAACGAACTGAAAAGTGATTGAAGCTCTGTCACGATACTCGCACGCTCGTATCACCGATGTATCAGCGCGCCTAGCTTCTCCGCAAATAGATAAGTCAAGCAAGCTCGCGAATGCCTAAACTGTTCTCACCCTTCGGGTCAATAGCTCAATCAGCGTGCACATCTTAAGGAAACCGTGTTACTCCTTAAGAGCTCGTGACGAGCAATGAGTGGACCATCGCCGGCACGCTCACAACTGGCAGGCTAGGTTACCCTCAGAGAGAGATCACTATCGAAAGGCCCCGTAGAGATCCTCCCCACCTTTAGCACGGCGCTGAAATGCCTACACGCACGCCGCGAGCTCGCCGTTAAAGGCTAACGAGCACAATCGCATGGAGCGCAAGATATGAGGGGTGATGCCAGGAGTCGTGAACCAGCGCGCACGCCCCTATTCAGTACGCACCTTTCTTCTTCGCCCCCTTACTTTATTCTGGCGCTCTTCCTTCCTTGTTTCGTGTCTCCGACGTTCCTAGTAGCGAGTTCTTTAACGCTGTAGCACCACCGAAAAAAAATGCAGCGACGAGCAGCCCGAACAAGGCAGGAGACGACGGCTGAGGAGGTTGACTCCTCGGAAATCGTCCCGTCTACAAGAGAGCCAAGGAAGAACGGGGGGTGTTGGCCAGCCCGCCCCTTAATGAGGATTTCATGGCGATCACCCCCTCCCCTCACCCCAGCCGTCCGCGCTTGCTTGTACGTACTCTCCTGTACGGGGGAAGCGGCACCCCTTCGGAACGAACAGCCCAAACAGGTCGCTCACGACGTTCACCCCTGGCACTTGCAACGGTCTTGTGCACGCGCGCGGTGTCGTGACCCGCGTCTCGTTATCAATTACCAGTGTTTGACCGTGGCGCGCCACTCGCACCCCTCCTCGTTCCCTTCAACACAATCCACCCCGACTTCCATCGGGCGCCCTCCCCGCCAATAGGCACTCGCACACGACGTTGCTACCGTTGTGCCACGTCGGTCACGACTTGGCGCTTAACACGCACGCAATCAACGCTGGATGCCGCGTGCGCTGTTCAGTCCCGTTCTGCGATGTTGCCTCGAGACTCCGGGGTGCTTCGTGTTCGAGGGGCGCTGACATGCGCGGAAGAGCCACGGGATTCGGCTAGTCATGGATCGAAGATATCGTATGAAAAGGATTTCACGTAGGGATTCCGGCCAAGTTGAGCATATTGCAGGTGGGTTGTAGCAGCTGGTGCAAAAGTATTTTACAGATGTTCTTCGTGTTCTTCCTTTCGGCGTTTCTTTCTAAGGTCAAGACAGTTTAGAATAAATTATTAGTGATGCTAACTTAGGTGGAAGGTAATCCTATGAGTCACACAAATAATTGTTCTGCAGAAATTACAAATACCTCAGAGGGGTCCAGCAAGTCATATTGGTGTATTCCGAAAAAAAATATAAAAGCTATATTGAGGCTTTGATTATTTCGGGCCTTCCCAAGGCTCGGATGGAGGCGCGAATACCAGCCGAGTCGTTGTGGCACAACTACAGTTCCCCAAAGCTGCGCTTATTGAGTTACAATAATGCTGACCCACGTTTCACGTTGTTCTTTTCTTTGGTATGATATTTGCTAGGTTTGTAATTTGGAACAAAAGCCCTTCTATGAGCGAGTAGGATTTACGGTTGTAAAGCACCGTCCTGCGTGGCGAATTCTTTGCACGCACATGGGCTTAGCGACAGATGCTTGAGGGGCGTGTGGTAAAGCTATTGGTTACGTCATGGGGTCATGCCGACGAATCATTGTGCCTTAAAATTTGGTTGGTGATTCATGCAAGAACCGAAACACTTTCCATTACAAGTGCTTAGGTTCTCTGACTGGTCACCTGCGGAATCTAACAGTGTGATGGAAGTGTGCTGGACACTCTTGGTCGTTGTCTTCCAGTCTGAAGTTTTTCCTTGAATGAAAGATTCCACTAGCATTCGTTTTGAGTCGTGAATTTTCTTGGGGGTGTGAAAAGCTGCCTTAAACGAATACAACAAGAACTTGAGTTTTGGATAGCCTCTATACAGGAATATGTCAGTTAAAGTAAAATGGGAGCCGGCCTTGCATTGCCATTCATATCAAAATCACAGTGACTCGAAGCGTTGTCTAGTGAAGGGCAAAACTTCGTGATAAAGATGTGTTTCATCCAGAAAGAAGGAAAATATAAAGGTTTCGAAATTATATCTCGTAGAAAAATTGTTTCCTCTAGAAATCTGCGTCTCTTTTGTGTTCGCTTGAGTGCTGGTGCTAAACATTTCTTAGTAATCACTGAGAATCGAAAAGCAGGACCACTTACATAATGGTAGCAATAACGGAACGAATTTTTGTTTATTAAAAAGAGGGCTGCCACTGACAGTACATTCATTCCAAGAAAGTTTACATTTTACGGTAACCATGTTAAGGAGCGTAAAGGGGCGTCAAACTTTCGTTAGGTTAGCTCATTGTTTCGATGCATTACGAGACCTTCAGTAAATTAATATTCGTTCTTCGCACAACAAACTAAAATGCTTGGTTTGTTTCTGCTATGTGGTCGTTAGTGCCTCACATGCCATAAGAAAATATATAGGTAACTTCAAACAGACAGCGGTAAAGACAGCTTCTTTCATGTGTTCAAAATATCTAAGGCGTGTCCACAAATTTGATTATAGACTAAACAACCGGGTAAACGTTCTTGCTGGAACATTTTTATTTGGTGCAGACAACACAGCGCAACATTTCTACGAAAACTCGGAAACTTAAATGTGAGCATCTGAGGGTTCTCAATAAGTTAGGGAACTGAAAACGTCGCGTTGTCATTTACTCAGCATTGGAGCTCGCGCTGCCTTTATTGCCATTTGTCATGCCTGACTGTTGAGACTATTCTGACCAGGTCGCCAGTGAAAAAGTGGTTCGAGAGCCTTAACCAAGAAAAAAAAAAGCAAGAAAAAACTGGCGAACCAAAGCAGTAAGCTGCAAATTTCGTTCAGAAGCCATATTCGCAAAGGTCATGCAGTTTTGAGGATGCCGGTATACCTGCTTAGTTCGATTCCTAGACCGAAAAAAAAACGGAGAACAAATAGAGGACACAGCTAAGGACTACAGACTGATGGCAGACACTGCAGACAATATCGCTGCTCGTCCGTCTTCGGGCACTTCCCAGTGCGTTTTCCTTTGTAAACATGCGATACGCTGGCATCATACATACCTCACGGGGGATTGCTAGGTGCCCATTAAGGAGACGGCCAGCCTTAGCCGTGGCTACGTTAAGTTAGAGTGCGTCTTCCCTAACAAGCTCGCGCGGCTTTCGCATGCGGAAGAGCCTCGCTCGATGGTCGTAAAAACTGCAACCGTCCGCAGTGGCCGGCTCGACGAAAGCATCGCCGGGTCGTAAACAACCGCAGTATAGCGCGATTGTCATCTTTACAGCCTCCGAAAGAGTGAAAGAGAACGCGCCTTGCGTGCGACTCTGTGGATTACCGACGGGACAGTAGCCCTAGCTCTATGTGCTTAGGAAGCGCTCTTGGGCGATGCCAGCGAGCATCATTACAGTTAGCTGCCGGGTAAATTACGCCTCTGGGAAAGCAAGCTCGTTTACTGTTACATTGAGGCGAGGATAAGTACTCGAGATGCGATGTAGAAAGAAAGGACTGATGTGGAGACGGCAGTCTTGAAAAGTTTCACTCCTACTCGCAGTAACGCCATCAAGTAGACAACACCTTTTGGAGTGCAGCTAATCGCTCATCTTCAATGAGACCGTTGGTTTGACGGCTTGCAAACAGAGGAAACCGTGAAGAGGTAGTTATAGTTCCTTGACGTTACTGCGATGCAGTGGTGCTGCGATCCAGGCGCAGAAATGAAGCGTCGTTTTTATTTTCATAGCCAGCAGCCAAAATGGTGAAATCAGAAGAAAGAATTTTGAAAGAAGGTTCACAACCGCCTAATCATTCAGTTTAGTTTTTGAGGGTTCACTTCCATGTGCTCTTTCAAAAGCGACCGTAGCGACATCTTTGCGTTACCATTCGTAACTAGGCTTCCATTTAATTAGTTGCTGATACTTAACGACACACCGGCATGTGGTTTGTGTTTGTCACAACAGGCGGCCTTTCTTTTTTGTTGCTTTTCAGTTCAATCACCTGGCAGGCGTGTTCCGAACTCGACAGGAATTGAGACGTTTTCGGGGAGTGGTAGAATTAATGGGCCTCGCTCGCTCTTGGCGAGAAACCCGCAAGAACACCGCGAAAGCCCCGTCTATAGCAATTCGAATGCCACTCCGAATATTTGTTGCTCATTTTGACTGTCTTTGTTTGGCGCCGAAACAACCTTTCTTCTTTCCGAAGGTCCGTTCGTTGTCTCCCCCCCCCCTCTACATACCTTTTGCTTCGTTTCTTTCCTCGTTGCATCTTTTGCGCATTCCTCGTCTCCGCACCACCCGCTCCCGCTCGGCCCGCCCGGAGTGGTCGAAACAAATAAAAAGAGCACGTCATGACCCCACGTAGAGCCGGGCTCATTTAGTACGTTCCTGGCGAGGCCTTCACCTCACCTCGACCACCCCCTTACCTTCCTACTCCCGCCATTTCATTTGTTCAAACGCTTCTCTTTGATCGCTTTCGAAGAGCAAGCCTGCAGCAAGTGCACCTTTGGAGGGCGCTAATCGTTTCGGTGTCGGCCCGACGGGCTCCCCCCCCCCCTCTCCTTCGCAACTTGCCCGTTCCGTTCTTCGCACAGCCTTGGCTGCTGTAGCACTTCGTTACTTTCGCGTCTCGTCTCTCCTCTGCGCTTGTTCCTGCTCTCCTTCTTCATCCGCGGTGCACCTTGTTCACTCGCATACCGTTGAGTCGCTCGGGGCGACTCTGAATGCGGAGAGACGCCCGTTCGTTCTTCACGCGTGCGAGTGCGACTCCCGGTACTCCCGATTCGATGACGCGAAAGAGTTACTCTGTTCCCAAGTGGGTCTCCGGCTCGAGCAAGTTGGCTCGTGGGTAACTGGGCAGAACGCGGAGTATGAATTCATGGATAATGAAGATACGGGACAGCACTGTATCTTTTATGCAGCTGTCGTTATGCGCTATACGTTTACTCCAGCTGCAGCGTTGTCCAGGAAAACGAGATTAAATTGTTTCAAATTTGCGTTCGCTCGGGAAGTTTTGTATTGAGCCTTACAACATTAGGAAGTTGATGTGTTGGTTTCAAGTACGAGGCGATCTCTCGAAAAAGAATCAGAAATACTGGCTCAATTGGCCGGGTTCAAACTCGGAAGATGGAGAAATTTTACCGCTGTACTAGCATTGCCAGATAAGGGCTAACAGCTAAACCGATGCAAGCAGGCATAATGGAAACATGACTGATGACAGGTCTAGTGATGCAGAATACAAATATAAGAACTGATTTTAGTGTCACCTCTTGTACAGAAAACAAACTATTGTAACTATGTGTGATGCGTGACCAGCTTCTCGACATTATAACATATGAGAACAGGCGTGGTGGTAATCTAAGTACGCGTCATCAAGATTTATAATGTCGTCGCCCTTACTCGTACGTTCCTACTGTACTGCCCCGAACCTCTATCTTGCAGTGGAGTAGAGTTACAAACGCGATCTTATCGTTGAGATAATTGATGATTGCCAATTCGAACGGTTGCAGTGAACACGATAAAACTTTTAGATTACGCGGATGCACTGCGCCAATTATGATGAAGTGCGACAAAACGGAAAAAGAAAGGGCTGGGGAACTTCAAATGTCTTTTTTTTTATACTTGCGGGCACAAGAACTAAAAAAAAAAAAAAAAACATGGCCAAGCTTCAATTACTCGTTTGTACCCCAATGGGCAAGCAAACGCTGCCGTGCTGATTTTGTTGTAATACTGGAATTTTTTAATAAAAAATATTGAGATTCGGCCCATAGCTGAAAAATTGATTGCTACTGTTACTGACATTGCGTATACAGTACAAATTAGAATATACTCATCAATCTTGGAAGCAGTGAACAAGTGTAAAAAGACGGTGTAAAAAAAAGAACCTGTGTGTTTGAAGGTCTGGGAATACTGTTCTGAAATTGGAAAAAAAAAGAAGATTAATGGTATGACCTGTTTTAAAGAAATCTTGTACAGGTGATTTTTCGACATGGCATTTATTTTCTGTACCAATTGATATAGAAAGCCACGAGGCTCATTAGCCATGAGAAATTTGATCGAGAACCACTTTTTAGTGTCTCATTACTGGAAGCTTTGTCCTGTGCATCTTACACAGCAACAGCAAATTGACTTCTCACTATTGCTCCTCGGAAGAGAATACTAATCTCACATTCATTTCATTACCCAAGTTACGCAAGGCATCAATATTCTTTCGGGGGTCCCTAAAGGAAAACTAAGGGACGAATCCTTCAGGACCTCATTACGGTGTAGTATCTACCTACCTATACTGATTTAAGGAGCAACTGTAATTGAGGGATTGCGGCTGGGATTTGTAGCTTTGATCAATGGTTGCGAGCATTCAGTTACAGACTCGGCTTTTTTGTGCTGAATAATTAAAATATGACGACGAAAAATCATGCCCCGTGGATGTTGTCCTTCCCGTATTTCTTTCGTCTTTGGTGGAACATTTGTGACTCTGTTATCTGCCATGACACCTGAGTGGTGATCGTCAAGTGTGCGCAGTTTCTCTGCAGACCTCGGGTCAAGGGTTCCATACGGGCTGGGACTGTCATATGTCTATCAAAAGATAAAAAAAAAGGTCCCTGTCTACCTTGACGCGCTGAAACAAATTTTATGGGTGGTCAAAATTAATCGGGAATCCCTGACATTGGCATACTTCATCATCTTGTGAGTGTAGCATGAGAAACCGCTGGAGTTAACATTGAAAGAGGTTACTTTTATCAATGGTTGGCAGTAAAAGCCCACTTGGAGCCTTGCAGCAGAAACTGTAAGCACTTCAATTTACTGAATATGGGAATGTTAAGGGTATTTTACACACATTCTTTTAGAAGCTTGCGCTCTATGTCAGTTGTAACAGGATGTTATTAGAGTATAGCAGCTGCATTTGATTACCCGTGTCTCTGTTTCTTATATATGTACAAAAAATGTTTACACAAGAGCTTTATATGTATTAGGTGATATCAAATTGCATCTTATAGTAGTCTAACAAACTATCACAAGCGTGTGGTCTGCAGTCTGCTGATTTACGCGTACAAAAGTAAAATTTGACTGTGGTAATGTAAGCGTGCAGTTCCTTACAGAACTGTCAAGTAATATATCGTCATAACGTTATAAGTGCATACCAGGAGTCATCTTATGTTGTCCGAGAGAAACACTCAATGCTTTTGCATGCATTTAAGATGAAGTGCTTTCGGCGGTTCCCGTAGGCTTCAAATTGAGCGACATGCGTAGTAAAACGATTGACTTGTTTGTTCAGAATGCTACTGTGGAGACCTCTATTAGAAGTTACCGGAATGCGTTGTTGTTGGCAGGGCAGCGTTGGCTGAAAGGAACCCATATACGTATTTTCCTGTTGCCGCGAATACGTTCATGCAAAGGCTGACACCACGCAAGAAAAAAAAAATGTGCTAGTCCCTGTACATAACATTACGTCACGTGGTATTTCAGTCCTTGCACGAACATTTGTTCCTCTTTACGCACTTGTTGGGCATCGCGAGTGTGCTTGGCCGAAATGGGCGCATCCGCTTGAGATGACTGTACGTCAGTGAAACAAACCATTGTTCTGAAGGGTATGTATTTGTCCTGTATAATTTATACCGCGAAATATTGTAAAAAAAACAAGGAAGATTTTTTTCTTTTCCTAAATTATATGTAAATATGAGAAACAAAATAAAATCAACATTTTTTACATGACAAACTGAGCATTGAAATCTTCATTCCCTCTTGTCGATTTGCAACGTGCCCACTCGAGGAGTTTTAGTTGGCGTCGTTGACGATCGGATGACTTGATTTCACTTAAGCTCGTTGATCATTGAGCGATCAGCACAGAATAAACAGACAGAAAGCTAAAACCACAACACCTGAAGCCGTATGATACCCAACAATATTACTGAAACCAGACGCCC